TTGTATCTCCTATGTGCATTTGCTATCTTGTGAAAGAATTTAGTATTCTTATCACCTTCCTTCAGCCATAGAGCCCTTGATTTTTGTCTCCAGGAGATCTCCTCCTTTTTTATCAACTCTTCATATTTCAACATCAATTCAGATTTTTTGGCAGACTCCTCATTAGTAAGGATTCTGTCTTCCCTCTCAGCTTCTAGATCAGCCAACTGTTCAAGCAATTTCTTCCTCTGTATACCCAAATTTCCTTCTTCCCCATTCCTCCATTCTTTAAGTTTAGTCTTCAGAGCTTTTAGTTTGCAAGCCAATCTATAATCAGGTTTCCCTGTGAAGTTGAAAGAAGACCACCATTCTCTGACTCTATCAATGAAGCCCTCAGATTCTAACCACCAATTTTCAAATTTGAAGTAACTTTTGTTCCTTTCCCAAGACCCCCTAGTAAGGCTATAGGAATATGATCTGAAATCAACCTTTGAAGTGGAATCTGTTTCAAATTTTGGAACTTGTCATCCCATTCCTCTGAAATTAGGATCCTGTCAATCCTGGAGGCTGCTTCCTGTTGGTCCCCTTTGAACCAAGTATATGTGACATCCTCAAGTTGCAAGTCAACTAGTTTCATGTCTTCAATAAAATCAGAGAATTCCTTCATACCCCTTGTTCTTACTGTACAATTCTTCTTCTCAGATATGTATCTTGTTACATTAAAATCACCACAAATAGCCCATGGTCCTTCCATTAGTCCTCTGACTGCACTTACCTCTTCCCACACTATTCTTCTTTCCTTGTAACAGTTTGGGGCATACACTCCTGTGATGTGGCATTTAAAATCTTGGAGTTGAGATTCAAATTTACATGTGATGGAGAATGCCCCTATTTCTAAGATTTCCCCCTTCCAGGCTCTCTCATCCCACATCATCAAGATCCCCCCTCTTGTCCCACTGGATTCCAGATATGCTTGTTTGATCCACCTTCCTGCCCAGACCTGCTTGGCTAAATCTACGACATTGCCTTCCAGTTTTGTTTCTTGAAGGCATATGATGTCTGCCTTCCACCCCCATATCATGCTATTTACTAGCCTCCTCTTCTCTAAATTATTAAGTCCCCTAACATTCCAAGATACTAGTTTAAAATTCATCAAGTACTAGCACTTGCACTCCTCCCCTTTCCTCTGTTCCCTGTACTTTTAAATTTGACATCAAAACATACCAAGTTTTTTAATTCTTGTACACCTTTTTAGTCTTAGTTTTTTTAATTTCACTGCACGATTCCAGTTTTCTTGCTTGTCTGCAACTGTCTATTTGCATCAGAAGTTCTGTGGCTTCCTCTTCATGACCTTGGAAATCAATCCCAAAAATTTTCCCCAATTTAATGAGATTTTGCTGCACCCAATTGGATGCTTCTTTTTCCTTGCCCTGAGTTATGAGTTGTTGCTGCACCATTAGAGGCTCTACATCATCAACCTCCCAGTTGACTAACTCTGTTTCAGAATTTCGAGTAGTAACCCCACTGTTGACTCGATCATCCCCACCCACGTCAAAATTCCTTTCCAGTTGACTATCAGCCTCCTCTCCCACTATCTGCAACTCCTTTTCCCCCAGAGAATGAAGCAATTTTAACATTGTATTAATCCAAAAGGAGAGATATTGTAGGTGTATAAGTTATCTATCAAAGGAAAACAAAATCACTAAATATCTCAACCTATGATTGTGCTATGTATTCTATATGAAGATCTGTCTATGTTCATTCGGTGTCATGTATATTCTATTACACTCCCCCTCTCAAGTTGTAGATAGATATTAATCATGTCCAACTTGTTACAAAAATATTCCACCCTAGTTCCATTCAAAGTCTTCATGAATATATCACATAATTGCTCTCCTATCTTCACATAGCCAGTAGAAATCATGTTTTCTTTAATCTTCGCACGAACAAAGTGATAATCAACTTCAATGTGTTTCATTCGATCATGGTACACTGGATTTTAGGCAATGTGTAGAGCAACCTGATTTTCACACCAAAGTTTTGCTGGAGACAAAGGATTCATACCGACTTCAACTAAAAGGTGATGAATCCATGGTATTTCACATGCCAATCGAGACATAGCTCTATACTCAGATTTTGCACTATATCGAGATACAACATTTTGTTTCTTACTCCTCCAAGATAATAGATTTCCACCAACAAAGATGCAGTACCAGCAGTAGATCTTCTATCAATTCTTGAGCCAGCCCAATCAACATATGAAAACACTCAATACGAGTATGTCTGTGATCATTATAGAGTATGTCAAGGTAGGAGCTCCTTCTAAGTAGCACAAGATCTGATCCAAGGCTACTTAATGTTTGACTGTCAATCCAGACATGAATTGATATGCAATATCTGGACGGATCACTATGAGTTAGTTCAATTTCACAACTAACCTTTTGTATCTTTCCGGATCATCAAAAGGGTCACCATCATCCTTAGTAACAAGTACATTAGGAACTATTGGTGTACGACACGGCTTGGCTCCCAATTTTCCAGTTTATGCAATTAGGGCACTACATACTTTCTTTGGACAAGAAAATCCTCTTTCTTGTTTTTTGCTACTTCGATCCCCAAGAAGTATTTCAACTACCTCAACTGTTTGGTATGAAACTTGGCACGTAAAAACTTCTTGAAAGGAGAAATTCCTGCAAAATTATCTCATGTAATAACAATATTGTCAACATAAACAATGAAAAGAGTGATACCAACTGTTGATTGTCCGTAGAGGACTCAGTGATCACACCGATACCCTTTTGAAGGCGAAAATATCCCAAGAAAACACACTTCAATGCATTTGGATTCAACTAGGTAATAGGTGGTTGAACATCTCGAACATAACATGAGCTTCCAAATACCCCAAGTTCCATCGAAAATAGTGACTTATTTGGAAAAAGAACACTGTTAGGCACATTACCAACAAGCACATTCGAGGACACACGATTTATTAGAAAACGAACAATAGAGATTACACAACCCAAAGTTGTTTAGGAACCTTCATTTGGAACACAAGTACCCCAGCTGTCTTAAGAAGATGCCTATTCTTCCTCTTAACAACTCCATTTTGAGAGGATATTTCTTGAGTTGTTCCATCACTTCAAGAAATCATATTTCTCTTGACTAATTTAAACCTAAAATCCTTTATGCTTCTCCAGCCGAATTCTCATGTGGTCGAATTGTCGTCCAACAGTCACTAAAAATAAACCCGAGGCATGAATAAAAAAGAGAGGAAATTTGCATGGTCCATCAGAAGTCAGGTCTCATAAATTATCAAAAACAAGAATTTCGGGAAACACACAAGACTGCTGTATTGGGTTCAGATGAGAAACAAAAAATTGCAAAGTACCTTGCGTGAAGGTAGTGCATGGATGTATACTCAAATGCCAACCACATTGCTGTATGAACTCCAAAGAAAACTATATCTGATAATTGTTCCGCACACCAACGTTAAAATCATATTACAGTTAATAACTCCACATGAGAGATCTGACTTGCCATCTAAGCAAATGGAAGAGTCCAAACACTCAGTCACCATTTTGGGCTGCTGGATTTCTACCTTTAATCAGCTGTTTCAAACAGGAAAGAGGCATTTAAAAACAGTAGGTTTTTATTAGCAAGACCAACTTGTCCAGATGAAATTTTAAAAATAGGAACCAAGTAAATGGTGCCATCTCGTATGAAAACTTGAATGATCCCATTGAACAGGAAAAAGTATCAAAATCCCAACGCCAGGTTAGAAGATACAACCTTGTAGAAGTACTTCCTCCGCAGTTTGATGGCAGTCCGTACACACCTCTTGACCCGAATCTTTAACATATTGTCGTTGAATATCTGATGCATGTTCAACATATAATTATCAGTAAATACTAACAATGTAACTCCAACAAATTCATAATTTTCATGCAATGTGCACGTGTGTAAACTCCAAACAAATTCATAATTCATAAGACAGGCAAATACAGAGAGAGAGAGAGAGAGAGAGAGAGGTGCCAGAAAATAATTCAAGACCAACTTCCACATCAGATAGCACCAAGGTAAAAATGAGGAGGCATCTGAAAAACCAGCCAAAATGACAGAATAATCAATCACCGCCCCTAAAGAAGATAATAACGCCATGTTCATGAAGTGAGGTGCAGTCCAAGGTCCATCAACATGTTAATATAGTAAATTGATATATCAACGGAAGGACAAACACACTTTAAAATATAACAAGCATGATAAACATAAAAATAATCTGAATCTTCAAAATTTATTTTTAACCCTTCAGCAGCAAAATAGAGATGCATTAAGTTCCTGTTGACTACACTTGGACCTAAATACACAGAGCAATTTTTAGGGAAGTAATGGTTGATCACGAGTTTATACGTACATCACAGCATGTTCAAAAGTTACACAACTTAGGAGGTTTTCAGCTGTAATGCCAAAACCTGACATTTTAGCATAATAACTAGCTAATGTTTTGGAAACACGACCCAGGAAGCAATTAACGATATTAGTAGCTAAACCATCAGGGTCAAGTAAAATGAGAAACAAATAAAGAAATAAATAAAGAGAAATCTTCAATGCAACATATGTTTTTGTCTGTAGTAGTATAGTGACTAGTGATAAGAAGATTTAACAGGAAATATACGCAAATTCTTGTGGAGTCCAAAACAAGAAAGAAAAGATTAAAAAACAGAAAAATAAGCACCACCACATAGAGTTGCTGAACTGATTACTTCACATTACATTTCAAAATCAGAATGACACATAAACCAAAGTAATTAACAATGACATAATCACACAGTTGAAAGCATCCACTCAACGATCAGTGTAGCACAGTCGATGTTAATTTAAATAAACCTGCCTTTATAAGATCATCAATTGAGTGAGTTTGTTTAATGATCTTCTGGTGGTTCATGACAAGAATAGCTGCTACACAAAAAACTGGTAATTCATCGACAGTACTCCTTGTTGATGAGACCATATTAACACTGTGCATGCCACTACTTTTGGACCAAAAATTCCTTGTAAGGCCACAAAATGGATGAGCTAAGGAAAGCTTCATCCCGTTGTTTGCAGAGACAGTACGCTCTCCACTTCCATGTTTAGAGGGCGAGTCATCCTTTGAATCACTATTATTCTCAATAATTTCTTCTCCTGATTCTGCCTCAGATTCCTTTGGAATCTGAATGACCAATATTTCAGGGCAGTTCTCCTCTAGATGATAAGTGACCGATTCATCAAAATCTGCAGCCCACATCATCTGCAAAGTCCAAATAAGTTAAGCAGATGAATAACAACAGAAAACACCTAATGATATTGAAGAGAAAGAAGACATGCTTGTGACTAAACGGAACAAAAACTATCCATATTAAATATCAATAATATTGCATGACAATCATGTTGATGAACGAAATCTTAGTCATATGAGATCTCTGAACTTTATTGTCGCTCCACGCTCCTTGATAATTCTTTTCCTTCTCCTTACTACAAATGCTCGCAATTGTATGTTTTTATAAGTGTAGAATGGGGGATACTACGTTTAGGATAAGCCTGTGGTGAAAAATGGTAGAGAGCTTGAAGGGTGATACAGTCATATCCCTGAAATGTTGAACAAGACTAACTTAGCCGATTATATGGCTACTCCCAAAAGATGCTATAAAGCTAAATAGTAGATAGAGCTGAATTTAAGATGTATATTATTAATAGACACAGCACTGTCATTTTCAATCATCTCTTTGTCTATTCTTAGGAAAATAAAAAGAGAAGTAACCCAGAAATTAGAACTCATTAAGAAAAGGGTCCAAGTAAACAAATCCATCAAATTACAAGAGAACTTCTGATGCTATAGTACTTCTCCTGCTAAAGGATTGGTGCTTTCTCATTAGGGCATGTCCTTTCACCTTGCAACTAACATTCTGATTCTCGATAAAAACAGAAACACAAACCTCCCACATACAAAGAACCTCATTAAAAGATAATTCTCGGCGGAAGAGCACCAAAAGCATCCGGAAGGCGAAGTGAAGGCTTTCAGCACCTATGCTTGACAAATGAGAAAACATTTCTCGATCTGTAAGTTCCACAATATGCCATAGAGCTTGCAATTGCTTCATGACACCAGTTGGCCCTTCCATCTGAAAGTTCTCACGCTGAAGAGAAGGAAACACTAAATAAAGTCACAAGCACCAAAAGAAAGGAATAACAATGAAGAACTAAAGAAGGAAATAATGCATGAATTGTTGTTCATGTACAGACCATTCTCCGTAGAAGCATCTCAAAGCACCAGAATGCATCAGCATTATCCTCAAACAGAACAACAAAAGGAGACAAGAGATCACTCATTCCTAGAAAAAATAAGAGAAGAAAATAAAGGAATCGCTTTAAGAGCTTTGAATTGATACAGCAAAAAGAACTTTGTCAGAAGACAAGGAACAACCTTGGCAATATCCCGTTGCCGGATCAACCCATGCATAAACAGCCAGGATATCTGACATTCTAGCCAAATTTTTTCTATCCTCATAGAATTCAAGATGGCTATCTGTTCTGACTACATCAACAACTAAAAGCCAAAAAAGGAATTCTATTTCAATACCATTAACATTCAGGTAAATAAATTTTCTGTAGGAAAGAGGTGATCACTAATGCTGAACTTACCTATCTGATGTAATGTCCAGAGCCATTCTGACACTCTTTCATCACTGAAACCATCTCTTGGAGGTGTTCTCGCATTCATATTTGGAGTGTCGGGTGCGTCAGATATTCTGAGTTTGGTAAAAATCTCTGTTTCACGTTCCTGGAATTTTCCAGACCATGACACTGAATCCGGCCCAGTAGGATGAACCCTCTCAATTTCAGAGTTCAGGGAATGAGACACGTCATTTGATGAGGAAACATTTGCTTCTACGACTAGATCTGCATTATTATTTATTCTGAAACTGTGCATCTTGTCTTCTCCATATTTCAATTTACGCCTTGCTAAATTTCTCTTACCATATGACCTATGACCTTTCTTATTTTTGATACTCTTTCCAAATAAGTCAGTAACAGGTAAAGCAGGAAAATCAAAATAGTTCTCATTTACAGATGCTGATTGACATGCTTCACCCCCAAGTTCGGTGGATCGGCAGCCGTATGGACCCAAAGTAGGCACAGAAAAGAAAGAGTCCAATGCTGCCTCATCTGTGCTTCCCCTTGCACTTATAAGGTCACCGGAATCAGTAGAGCTTTCCCTTTGATGTGTATGTTGTGTGTCTATACAATTATTATCAAAATCACTGTAACCGTATAAATTGTCAGTATTTACATCAGAAGCTTGACTGCTCTTGACATCAGCTTCTCTTCGGCAGTCATCTTTGGAACTTGTTCTCATGTCCATGACCTTGGACCCAACAACATAAGCAAGGGAACCAGTTCCTACACTGGAATGCATTGATTGGCACTGCTTTATGAGGTCTCTGTAGCGTTCCCTGAGGAGATATTACGGATATACAGAAGTTCATATGCCAAAGTTTGTTATTTGGAAAAGTGAAGACATCTCTCTTAGGTCCTCTTTTTTCTTACGCAGGTGGTACACTTTCTATAACAAATAAAATTACCCCCTCTTTTAAAACACCAAAAAGAAATAACAAATCAAGGAATCAGAATCTTTTTCAGAACTAAGAAGTCCCTCGCACAATGGCAATGGCTATTGGAAAATAAAGATAAGATAATTTGGTGTGTCTGATAAAACAAGCATGAGTCTGACTCCTCTACAAGGCAATGGACGACTTTATTCGCATCTTTCAGGAATAAATTACTACAAAGGATATGCAAATGCTAAAAGTGAGGACAGAACAATTGAGTGGGGATGTGAGGGGTTTTCACAAGCAGACAGTTGAGCCATTAAAATGTTGGGAGCAAGATACAATAGATTCCCGAGGAAAAAGTGGGATGTGAGTCATTCTCTAAGACACTGAAGATGTTGAAGATATAATTCAATAAATAAAACGAAGATTTTAGACGAGATAGCAGTCTGTTTCTAAATTATTCTATTTCTTCCTCTCTCTGTTGCAGTCCTTTTTTTATTTGCGAATTCTTCGTCTCTGTCTCTTTATTTTATTATTCTATTTCAGTGAATTTATTTTTCTAATAACAGCAATTTAAATGGAATCATCTGCTGAAAGGAGAGACCCAACTTGAACTTATGGAAGCAAAGTTCAATCCAACGTATTTCATAACAAGGTTACTGATGAAGCGTGTAACCATCTCACAAAAATCTTAAATTGTTAGAAAGAGCACACTTTTATTTACTTAATTATATTCTCAACATGCCCCCTCCATGTACGAGCCTACAAATTTTTCATGGGCCAAGCACATAGAAGTTCATTTTGATAATGGGTGTTGGTGGGATTCCATCCTAGGACCTCTGTCTGCTCTAATACAATATTGAAGTGTGTCACCATCTTATAAGTTGTTAGAGAGAGTACACTTTTATTTACTTAATTATATTCTCAATAGTTACCAAAGTTTGATTTGATTGTCACACACATCGTAGAGATGGTAATAGCAATGTCATATCCAGTCCAAAATACGAGGAACATGTTAAGGAAAATTTAGAAAAGTATGTTGAGAAAAAATATGAACGAACATGAGGGTCATGATTTGTCAATACCCCTTCTCTCAAAAAAAATTAAAAAAGTAATATTCTCTTCAACTTGTAGATGTACTGGTGGTAGGTCCTACAGAAGTTTATTTCACGAAGAATCTGAAGGATGTGGTTAGGCAAGAAAAGAGGTGAACATCCCATAGAATTGCCAAGAAGATTTTGACGGATTGTGCAGTTGCAATGTTTGCACGATGGATGCATGATGTTGGGCTTCCTTTCAATTGTGTCAATTTTATGGATAGCTTTCAGTTTTTGTTGAGGTTGTAGGTTAACATGCTCCAGGAATGAAGCCCCACACCAAGTTACTTTGAGCACACATCAAACGGTACCATTTACCATGATATGCAATATACAACATCCACAACGTAGTCCTTTAGAATTAAAGAGGCTTGTTTAGGGAGAAATTATTCTCTTAATAGTTTCTACACTTTCTTTAATATTATTAGTTTTCTCATATGTAGGTCATTGAACAAATCATATTAAGTATTATGCACTCTTTGATTCTACTTCTCTTTTGTTTCTGATCTATCCTCATTTAAGGTTTGCAGTTGTTAGTTTCCGCATAACACCTTGTTATTTCGATATTAGAGCAAATGGTTCAATGAGGTCGAAGACTGGTTCAAAGTAAGCTCAGCTCAAGTTGTAACCAATTTGACGATAAACAAATTGTCAAAAAAAAGTTTGAAGTACTACATATGGAGATAATTTTCAACAATCATGTTGCTACATCTTTAAAAACAAAAAGTATTTTTAAGCCATGCTTACTTTTAATGCATGGGCTCTAATTTTCAGCTCATGCTTACTTTTAACGCATGAGCTTCAACTTTCAACTCTTGCTTACTTTCAACACTTGGGTTCCAATGCTCAATCCATGTTTACTTCTACTGCATGGGCTCCGACATTCAATCTATACAGATATGGCACCTAGGTCTAACTCAACTCCAAGAGCTAGCTCATGAGGGGAGAATTGTACAAGTCTATACAAGCAAACTACCCGTTCATTCCCCAATCGATGTGGGACTCTAACCCACTCTAACACCACCTTCACATCCACGCCCAACTAGAGTGTGGACTAAGAGCCCAAATAGGGATGATTCTGGCTCTAATACCATGTAAAGATATGACACATTAGCTTAACTCAACTCCAAAAGCTAGCTCAAGAAGAATGGATTGCTCAAATCCATATACACAAACCACTAGTTCATTAGTGTAGGATATTTACTTGCATTTGATAGAACCACTAGTAATTGTATATATACATGTATTTCCGAAATAATGAAATATAAGTTCTTCCATTTCATATACTAGTTACATGGTATCAGAGCCAGATCTTTGGCTTCGCCGTAGTTAAGCTTATTGCCTTAACACCGAACTCAATTTCAGTCCAACTTCCTTCTCCTCTCTGACATCGCCCTGCCTTTTCCAGCCTATATATTTTGTGGTCCTCTCAGTTGGATCTAGTGGGATCATTTTTTTTGCTTCATTTCTCTAGATCATTTCTCTAATCTAATCTATAAGTGGCTATTTCTTTTCTAGGTTCTACTCGTTTCTCTAATCTAATCTTTAAGTGGCTATTTCTTTTGGAGGTTCTACTATTTTTATTTGGGTGAGTGGAACTTTAGTTGAGGGATCATATTAGTCCTCTATTTGTTTGAGAAGAACCTGATCAAGTCCTCTGCTTTATTTGAGAAAATTTGTCCTCTGTTTTGTTTGAACTTGTTCAAATGGTGTTGGAATTAATTCTTTGGTTTTCATCTTGTGCCTCTTATTTGTTGGAAGATATTTATGGCTAGGGCTTCTATTTTGTGAAGTTCGATTATTCTCTCTTTTTGGTGGAAATTCTTGATTGAAAAAGAAGGAACAAATCTCGGTCCATGCTTCTCCAGGTTGCCTTGACATTAATAGTTGATTTTGTGTTAGTTCCCTAGTCTGTTTCAGGTGGTTTACTTGATTGGAGTTTTATTTGTGTCTAGAAAAGACTTAGTTTGGGTATATTTTAGCTTTGGAGGATTCTCAATGAACTTATTTTGATACTATGAATATATTAGTTGGGAAAATGACTGCTTCTAGTCCATTATCAGATAAAATGGTTTTGGTTTCGGATAGGAGTTTGCTAAATTCTCTAAATATCAAAAATCATTAAAGGATACACACTTTAATTAATGTCTTTCTTGAGCCAGATAAAACATGTCTTATCACCTCTTCAAATAAATGGGTGATTGATTTAGGTGCCACAAATCACATGACATGTAATCCTAATATTTTTGTCTAGCGTTTGAACACACAAAGCACCCTCTCCAGTTAGATAATGGATCAACTTGTAACAGTGGTAGATTTGGGATTGTTCAACCAACCTCATCGATTGCCCCGTTATTTGTATTTAGGGCCCGTTTGAATATGGAATTTTTGTGTTGTATATTTTCTCATAAACATAAAAATCTCATAAGTTGTAAAACTATTAAAATAGCCCCAATTGTTTATTCAATCTTATCAAATAAACAAAAATTATAAAATCGCATAATAAATTATTACAAAGTTATTTGTTCTTCACTTAAGTAATTGTTTCATCTAAAAAATTGAACATAAATTGTACTTGATATGCTCATATCTCTCAACTACTCTTACAAATAACCTATAAGTAGAAAAAAAAAACATATATTAGTGAGTAAATATTAACTTAGAAGTTAAATACACTAAGATAAAAATTAACAAACATCACTGACTTCTAACTATTTACAAGAAAAATCAATAGTTAAATATTATTGAATAACGAAATTTTAAAAAGTTACCACAAGTTTGAGTCAAAAACACTTCTAATAAAATTTAATCAAAAAAATTATAACTAGTCCACTTGACTAAATATTAATAACTAATTGATCAAATTTTCCCAAGTCCTCAATCAATTGGACTTGATATTCTTCAGTCATGTGAACGAACATTTTGCGAATACTAAGATTAAGAAAGTGCGGCACCGCCAATGAAAATTGTCTTTTATCAATATTATGCTTAGTCATAAGATTAAGACGTTTTTTTTATTATGAAAAATAAAGAAAGTGTTACTCCCTTCGTTCTTATTTATATTCACCAAATGAATTTCTACTTTATCATTTATATTCACCAAATTTAAAGTAATAATAAATTTTATATTGGTGAGAATAATAAATTTTAAAAAGTAATGATGTGATTATAAATTTTATTTACATATGAAACAAATGGTTAGTAGATATAAATGTGGGGTTGTTTTAACAAAATATAAACTCATGGATCAATTATTGTACTAAAATATCTCAAATCATGATGTGATTCCATATCATGGTTTTTGGAGAATATGGTATCACCTCTCATGATATGAAATCATGAGATGGAATCAGCGTAAAATCGCATGTCCAAACGCTGATTCCATCTCACGACACCATATCGTGATATGGTATCGCATGGCCAAACGCCTACTTAGTCTACCAAAGTTGCCTTTAATTTGATTTTTGTTAGCAAAGTTACCAAAGAACTTAACTGTTATATCTCATTCTTTCTTGATCATTGTTTGTTTTGTGATCTTACCACGAATCAGGTTATTGGTAAAGGATATGTATACATTGAACTCTACATCCTTGATGAATGAGAGTCTTGGCCAGTTGCCTGATCTAGTATCGTGGATGCATTTGAAACACATTGTCAATTGGGACAACCTTCTCTACCTCTGCTAAAGAAGCCCTGTCCTCAGTTCCAAAATATTTCTTCATTGGAATGTGAGTCATGTCGGTTTGCAAAATACATAACTGAGTAGGTCCAAGAGTTAATATGCGGGCTGAGTTAGTTAATTCT